TTTTGATAAAGCACATGACAGACTGAGCGAGGAGGAAAGAGGACAGATGAGAGAGCACAAAGGGCGCAGGCATCAGTATGCTACGGACGAGAAAGCTGGTAGCGGTGTCGTTCGTTTTGGTCCTTGCAAGCCGGAACGCCTTTGATGTTAACTTTGTCACTATGAAATAATTGCGCCAGCATGCTTGAGGGTGAAATCCGAGAAGGGTGTCGCTTAAGAGCCTGGGGCCAGAGTCAACCCTGCGTTGCGCAGTTCGCAACGGCACGTTGAGAGATCCTCAACGCACGCTGTATGGGCGGAGACGCAGACGGCTCGAGCATGCGAGTGTGAATGTTCGCGCGAGAGAACGTGTCTAATCGGGCGAAACTGCGCAACGTGGCCGTTGAGAACTGCGCAACGCAGGGTTGACTCTGCCGTCGCTGCACATGGGGTCAGAAAGAATGATACATTTGCAACCTTCGTGATCAGCTCTACTCCTACCCATCAAAAGGGTTCATCCACCTGATTTCATTCTGAACTGTGTAATTAATGGTGTGAGTTACTAATAATCAATAAGCTCGAAACTCAGCAGTAATGGACTGGTTTGGACTTTTGGACGATTCCCAAATACTATATTATATTAGTTGATAGGCAAAGGTAATTTCATGAGCTTTTGAATTTTGGATTCAGAAAAGTATGTATTCAATTACTACCGCTTTCACAGGTGCCCTCTGGTGAAAAGGGAACTGGAGGCCAAGTTGAATGTGAACGTATCTCAAACAAGCATTTAGTACCTGAAGCGGCCGACAGACTGCCGTCCATCGCTCGAAGGTGATCATGACCATGGTGTAAACGCTGCACGTTTGCATGGTCAGATTAACAGGATAGACCCATTTCAGCACGTATGCCAAATAGGTTACGGCAGATTGTTGTGAAGACCTAAATCATATGGCTTACTCGATTTATTTGAAGTGCACTCTATCGGGAATGTAAGGGCGGAGTCACCAAGGCCACCTTTTCTATCTCATTCTAGTATAGCCAAAAAGAGAGGTGTACGGTTGGTTCAGATTTTGCGAATCGAACGATGCACCGAGAGTGTGAGGAAGTGAGAGTACCTCTCTTTAGCACATTGGCTTCTCACATTTTCCCATGCTCTTCAGCCCTCGCGAGTCCAGATGGGCAGCGAGGGCCAGCGTGCCATTGAGAGAGACCCTCGTCACTTTCAAACACTCTCAGATCACTGATGTACCCTTCAAACCGGTGGTGCACTGTCTGCACCTCCGCAAATCGCTGAATTCGCGAAGTCTTGGCATCCGGTCTACTAGTTGGAAGCCTAAGTAATCATAAACAACAACAAGCAGTCTAACTGATTCCGCCTTCAAGATGACGTAAAAGGTGCTACATTCCAATTCTTTAATATACAGGGGTGGCCAAAAAAGAGACACTTTGCCCATGGCGCACTTCATCGAACTTTTCGTCGCACAGAGTGCCGATGTTAGTGAAACTTCTACGGCGTAATACTCCATAGGTGTTCCCCCGTAAGCAGAAGCAGCCCCTCCTTCGCTGTCCCCGCCGTCTCCAGAATATGACGTCATCTACCGCCACCGTCGAGCTCAACGAGGCTTACCGTAATCGCTCCGGCCTGAAGCTACTTCACGATTTCTTCAATGGATTGACGATTAAATAGCTTCCCGAGACATTAGCTGTGACTATGCAAAACCACTTTTTGACCATCGTTTCAGGGACGTCGTAATGGTCTATGGTACCTCGACGACCCCGTTGAGCTCGTATCGCGAACTATATTTCCGTGGGAAAATCTTCTGATGTCGTCGGTGTAGAAGGCTGTCGTATAAGGTTTAGATAGATTAGAAGGTGCTCTTCAATAATGAGTTGGGGGCAGTCGATTTGATTCTAGCAAAGTGTGATTAATGCTGTCTGAAATGTGGAGTCAAGTGTCTCTTTTTTTTGGCCACACCCCTGTATACAAGAGATTCAAAAAATACGAAGAAGAAAAAAAAGAAATAGGATTTCACAGGGGAATTGAAATCTCAATCCTTGTAAAAATATTGATATCGGGTTCCCTAGGATTCTACAATAAAAGAACAATTTGCAACCAAAAATTCGAATCCAGAATTAATAGAGGATGTACAAATGTAGGAGTCTGATCTCCAAAAACTTACATTCAGAAATTCTAACCGGAGAAAGAATCTCTGCAGATATATAACAAAAGCTCACCAGAGGTCCAAATTCGTTATAACAAATGTCGGAATGGAAAGCAGTAAAAGTGAAAGGTCGATAAAGGACAAGGCGCACAGGAGCACGTTTACCTGGAAATTATCACTTTCCTATTCTTTCATTTAACTTCTTCTTTCGTTTAGGGAAATTGGAGAGGACTACACCAGGAAAGAAACACTAGAAGTCCAAAAAGGCGATTTTCCGACAAGACAGAACCTAAGTTCCAAATATTTATGCAACGCTGGTGCCGTCCTATTCAAGTAGCATTTGGGGATCACAAATTTCTTGGGTAGTAGTTGAGGATAAAACATTTCATCAGTGAAAATCGAATTTGCTCCTCTACGTGTCACGGCACTCAGCCATTTCATACCTTCGTTACCAATTCGTTAGGAAGAAGAACCCACATATAAAAGAAAGAACAGCTTGGGATTCGCCATCCTTTTTTCAACATGCTGCGTATTCGGGTAAAAGACAAAGGATAAAGCATTTGCCGTTGATCAATCCCTTTTGGGATGCGGCACGCATTCTACTTCCATTTGTACATTCGTAGTGGCGTTTGAATGCGATGTGGCCTATACAATGACTTGCGGGGCCAGCCGATGTACAAGTCAGTGTTTTTATCCTCCCAGACAAGTCTGGTACCAATTAACCGACCCCGGAGGGATGGAAGGCTTGGTTGGCCCGGGCGACGCACGACCCAGGACCGCAAGCGTAAGCGTGACTTGCCACTACACCATTGCCGCCCACATATTCGGGTGGTGATCAAAAACGCGTGAGAAATCCAGAGAGGAGAAAAAAGTAGGAAACTTCTTATTCAGCCTCACCCCATTTTCGTCTTTCCGCCCATCGGTGAGTTAACACTTCAAATGACAGTGGAGGTGAGTGGGAGCCAGCAACTTTTCGTGTCATCGGAAAAGTGCATATTAATATCAGGTCCCCCCAACTTCGCGCTTGGCAAGTAGCTATGTACATATCTCGTCTGGCCGCGAACAGTCTACATATTTTGCTTTCCTCTTGCGAGTTCAATTTTTCGTTCAAGAATTTCAATTAAAAGAAAGGGTAAATTGCAGGTTTAATGTGCTGGTCATGCTCTTCATAGCGACAACATTGACCAAAGCCATTTTGTCTGACTTGACTTTCCCAATAAAAATCTACTTTTTGAAAGCCGACTTCAAGGACATTTTTTCAGCATTGTAGTCTGTCCCACATTCGCACTCCAATTTGCGGAAAATCCTGTGACGTACAACTTTCATATTTTTACACTTAATGAATGCGTTAATGCAATGGCTTTTCCATGTATTGTCGTGACGTAACAACGCTGCTCAAACTATTTGCTTTTGCAAGGTTCAGAGCTTTTCTTCGAAAACCCAATAGTGGAAGCCATTTCGTTTCACGCACTAGTACGGTAACTTCGTATAGGATTATGAAATGAGCTGCTTGACCGATCAGTTTAACAATTCAATATATCACTATTTAATCAAAAATACTTCATAAATGCTTAAAAGACCAAAACACACAAAGAATAAAGCATTTGGCGTCGAACAATTCTGTTTTGGGATGCGCCACGCATCCCTCTTCGATTCAGAATTGTAGTGGTAGTTCTTACAGGACATGGCCTACCGTCATGCCTGGCTGGAGCAGCCGATGACAATGTTCTCACCCTTCCAGGGAACCCTTGCCCAAAGAAGAAAAATTTTGCGGGGGGAGGGGAGGCTTGGGAACCAAAGCGACAGTATAGGATTTGACCCCTGGCCCACAGGGGTGGTAGCTTGTGCCACATGCCACTACACTGCTTGCGCCTTAATCGAAGCACAAAATTTTCATCTTTGTTCCCGCTGCCTTTCACGTTCACCTCTGAAATCTCAAATTCAATAACAGCGATGGCGGCGTTTTGGCCTCGTCCTCAAATATGGAATGACCTTCGTGCCCGTCTGCTGGAAGACTCCCTCATATCCAGCTCACCAGAAAGCTCTAAAGATCCCAGTTCCAGTGTTGTGCCTGCACCTCAACATTCTCTCTAAATTTCAAAGCAGACAAACACATGTAGGGTGGTAAACACTGCTTTGTAAATCAGCTGACACCCAAGTCGCGCTGAACGCAAAAAAAAACATTCTAATGTCATACTGAATTAGATCTTTGAATGCATGGCGCCATTCCAAATTCAAGCATCTCTACGTTGATCCTACTTAATTATTTTCTCATGTAGCCTCATGATAAGGAAGTAGGAGAGAATGACAAAGGGAAAAAAAAAAAAAAAAAAAAAAAAAAAAAACAAAAAAAAAAAAGAACATGAAATCAAAAAACTCAGAGAGCACCGCATATGTGGTCGACTGAATAAAAGTAATGAAAGTGAATTGCCGAAACAGCCAATAATGACAAGCGAGAGGATGGCACATGCCATCCACTGCTGACTGTCCATCTGTAAAAAATTAAATTGTTCAATTATTGATCCGAGGTCGCATTGCGTCGAATAATGTTATCACAAATAGCGATAATTCTGCTGTAATTCGGGAACATTAAACATAGAAAATGTCGGATTCAGTAGGAAGAATATCCACGTGCTAGATGAAGCATAAAGCATAATCACGTTTCTCAGTGAGAGAGGCTTTGCCAAGAGGTTGGAAGTCACAAAAAATTGTGCTGAAATCCAATGTACGAAAATCGATAATGAAGAAGAATGGAAACAAGAAGAGACAAGATAGAATGTAGGTATGTAGGTCTACACATATGAAAGCGAATTCAACATCCCTAAAAACAAACGACTCGCTTCCCTCGAAAGGTTAAAACTTGCAAGAGAGAGGACAAGCAGGGACGCACCTCGGCTTCGCTGTAACAGCACTTGGCATTCCATTTGCTTTTTTATTAATTTGATACAGCATAAAAAAGACAATGGAAGCCTAACTAGGCTAAATCACTACAGTCGTCAAAACATCAGCATGCACACTAAAGTAGGCTGTAAAGGGGGAGGGGTCAGAAAGTCATCTTCCTTCACATTTGAAATTGAATTAATAACACTTTGTCGAATTCCAAGTACTCCGGGTAAAAATTGAGAAGCACATTCTAGTCTTGGAAAAAATTGTCACAGGGCTTTTTTTAGACGCCGAAATCAGAAAAATTTGCAATGGGAAACATATTGCACGGATCGATTTCGTTCATAGGCCCCCTTGAACTCCACTGTGACAGGAGATGACGTCAGTCTCTAAAGGGACGGCGAGTGAGGATCTGACGGCTCTAGGAGACATTACATAGGGATTATTTGCCCGCGTAAAACTCCCCATCGCGGGCGGTACTCTCTGGAGACTAAAAGTTTGGTGCTGGTGATAAAAGTGTGCACCATAGACAAACTGACTTTTGTTCCACCCCCTCGCTTGTACATTAGGTCCAAACAAGTACAAAGTCAATTATTAAGCGTGCGTGCTATTTCTCGTCCTTCATGAAAAGGCCGGTAGGTTTCTTCAAATGCTAGGTTTGGTGAGCCAGGATGGGATTTAGTTTGGGATACATGGGCCATCAATCCATGCTTTGGCTCTTTTTTCCTATGCAATTTGCTGACTGCTTTCAAATGGCTAATGGAGCGAAGTGAATAGAAACTAGAACTCTGAACCATATGTAGTGAAAGTTGGAAACTTTCCACAGTTGAGATTAAGAGAGCAAAATAATTCGCAATAAATGTGGTACATGTATAATATCAATGGAGAAGGGTGAAAGCGTTAACCGCTTTGTAAATGACAAAAGAGAGTAAATAAAATATAGTAGAGTAATAGTAATAGTAATAGTAATAAGAGTGCAAAATTATATGAAACGAGTTTGATAACTATATGGTTCTACTGCAGAATGATAATCTCGCAGTCGTTTGATACGCAGTAGGCTTCAAATGATTTTCTACAGGAATTTGCCGTCTCCAAGCGAACACCGGATCTACGTCACAAAGTCAGTTGATCGAATCACAGGTCGAGCGAGATTCACCAGGGATTTGCAATCTGTGCAGATTAACGTTGATAAACAAGCACGTCTAGAAAAGAACGTCATACAACGAGGACGTTTCGGGCCATCACGTTGAACACCGAGTCACTAACAAATTCACGCCCCGCCCACGAATCGTTGGGCAAATTGTTGTGGGGCTGTCCTCTAGCTGGGTACAGGAATGAGCATGGTAATTCACTCGGAAATTATTACGCACTTGAATCAAAGAAACAACTATGAGATATGTAGAGAGAACGACAAGGACAAGAACAGTGGAAAAAACGATTGCTATCAGGTTCTGGTAAAGTTCCATCCAGTCGAAAAGCAAGTTCAATTAGTAGGTTCCTAAACGCAGCAATCACTATGGGACTTAGAGCGGTATAGAGGGAACTCAATGGTATGCCACTTGCGAAAGAAGGCCGAGAATTCCGTCAAGATGCATCGGAACCCCCAGCTGTGCCGGAAGGGCAATGGCTCAGATAGTGGACGTATAAACGAGTTCACAGCAACGCGTTCGGTGGCACTATGCCAGTCCATGCCTCGCTCGAGTTGCTCCAAATGTGCCGCTGCTGGCAACACAGCTCGTCCAAAACACTAAACTTGTGGGCGGGACGCTTTTGGGACAGAGCGCTTTTTAAGACAGTTCACGACGGCCCCCTTTTCCACTTTTCGGTCGCGTGGGACGGACGCGATTTTGTGGGCGCCGCCGCCTCACCACATAACCGCAGATTTTGTTTTGTAAATGAACAAAAACATGAATGTCACAAAATAATTTCTGCAATGTCCAATGCGTAAAGATTATCTAAACATATAACAGTAGGATTTCGATCAGAACGACGAATAGTGGTTACGAAAAGAGAGCATTTATTCACTTTCCCCGTGAAGGAATTTTCCCATTTATTACGAGATTTGAACACTCATTTTTAAACTCACAGCGCCTGGCAAGCGGTTATCAGCTGGCACCCCATATGGGCCGCCATCGCCCCGCGAGCACGTTCATTGTCAGCCATATGGGCTGCCGGTGTGAATGTGTTCAGTACTGGCTCAGCAACCGCGCACCTACGAAGCAAGGTTAGCTGTCTATGTAACACTCCTGAACCGTTATCGAGTTCCGCTCCTTAAAGGCAAAAGTCGGGCTTATCAAGGGGGTATTATGGCGATTGAAACTGATTATAGAGATGCGAATTGGAACGACGGTGAAGAAAAAACTGAGAAAAAACCGTCGACAAGGCCGTTAACCAAAACAACCCCATCATATTCCGCACATCAGCAGTCGCACTCGAAGAGAGCATCTTAGGGAAGAGGCGCGTCACCCACTCGTTACCTGGAGATGTCAGTCGTTCTATCGGTTGATACGTCAATCAACCTACCTGATTTCACACGTTATGCCAGCCACGCACCACTTCCGGAGGTGGGCGGTCCTGGATTGACCAGGCGGCCCTGGATTGAAACCGAACGCCCCGGGGCCTTAACGGGGTTTTTCAAGGTGGGAAGTTGCTGCAATGTGTGCAGCTACCCACATACAACCTCCAGGCACGGGAATTACTTCTCTAGCGTGCCTGAGCCCGACCTTTGCCTTTAACATAACTTTATCAAACTCAAAAAAAACTAATAGTTAGGAACACTTTGTTACCATTCGTAACCACGCAACTGAGAGCAATTCAAAGGTTTTTCAGTACTAATACATATAGTAAGCGAGTTGAGCCGTACATTTACAAACAGGAGAAAATGTAACAAAAACAGGTGATATTTGGACTGGAGATGACTTCGACACTTCCTTGACGCATTTTGCCATATCTGACACTGGATTTAACGTTTGCGTCAGCCCATGAAATTTTGTGACTCTGGATGAATAACTTGCATTGCATTCGTCGTGGATCTCTTCCTGTGAAGTGCACCAAGCTCTCTAGTTATGTGAAATTGACAACAGAAATTAAAAAATGTGCAAAATCGGCTAGGAATTTGAGGGATATTTCTCGGCTCATTAGTTGTAGAGGGCGGCCAGTGGCAAGTCGGGTATTTTTTGAGCAACAACTCGAGCGATGGAAGCCGGTGGACGGCATACGTCCAGTTATTTGTCGGACCGTGCACCTTGAGAGACACCACAGCCGCCTCTCTTAGAAAATTTCTCTCCGCGTGGATAATACTTCCAGAGCTTCGGTAATTTTTGTCCAAGGCTTTTAATGATTAATCATTGATTGCTAGCTCGTTGGTTTCAACGTTTAGGTTTTATGATGGAAACTAATGACACCAGAATGTTGCTGAAAACAAAGCAGTAAACGAGTAATGAAAAGGCGGAAAAGTGACCAACTTGTTGCCCATTTGCTATCATGAAAATCCAACATTCCAGAAAGAGGTCACATACCGTTGTTTTAATTCTGTGAGAGTGAAGTGAATTTTTGAAATCCTTTTTAATTTCTTAATTTTCTAAAGCCTTTCCCTGTTTTAAAAGTATCAAGACTTGACTATTATTATTTGCCATCAAAACAAGCGGAGAATGAATGGGGCGGTAGCGAGAGACGGTGCGCAATACTATGCATGTTCTTAAAAAATTCGATTTGGTTTGATTTCGATCACATCTGACAAATTGAAAGCCTTCCTCCCACAGAAGCTGACCCACGGCTGCCGGGTTCGATGATCGTGAGGGTACTAGAGTAATTTTAAGAAAAAAGGTCGGTCTCCGGAAGCATCTCATCTACATTTCGCGAGTGAATATATGTGGGTTCCTGCGTCCAAAAATGAGAATAGATCTGCATTACAACCAATAATGAAAGAAAGCGAGGAAATCTTTAAGAACCCTCAGAATCGCTGCACGCAGTCATCGTATGTTAGGGTGTGCGCCTGCTTCTGCGCAAGTCTCACTGCTTGGCCAAACCTCTCTATCGTGTTCTATCGTACCTTGCCATAGCAAGAGGGAGAGATGACCAATGAAACTTCTGCGGAGATGAGACGAACCCAGCCCATAACATCAGCTGAATAGCGTACAATGAGATCTTAAGGGTTCAAAGCAGAGTACACTCCGTTGCAAAACTATACGACATACCCCAAATTTTGGGTTTCTGAAGTTACGAGAAACTCAGCACGAAAATGGCTAATGCCATTCGATTCAGCGTGTAAAGAAACCTACAAAGAGAATCTTCAAGCAGTTTGTCAAATTCCAGAAATCTAGGATCAAAAAATTGAAAAAACGGCCGTTGCAAAATTATACGACATAGCAGAAATTTTGACAATTTTTTTACTTCACTAAAATTTTTCCAAACTACTCCACAGTCGTAATAGCACTGTATTGTAGGTGAGCAGGCCACGGATTCGCCGTTGAGACGCCTTCACCCTGAGGAGCCTATCTGACATGTTATCTACCAATTTTTGTATGCCTAATCCTAGATACGTGCGTAATTTTTCGAGTAGCTTCTTCTGCAGGAGATGCATGGATTGTGCCGATTCTTCCAGGAACAAACACTACGGGCAAGAGTGCCCCATGGGTTTTCCATCGGATTTAGACCTTGCTAACAAGTAGGACCATCCGAGTGAATCTACATGGTAGGCTTCAAAGCAAGTTGAAGTCGGCTCAGTAACATGAATAACAGCGCTGTACTGCTGAGAAGTATGCCGATGATGACGATTCTGCATCGTAGACGGTAGCCGGTTATCAGAGCACATTATCGTGTTCGGTAAATCTGTTTAGC